TATTGATAGTGTTATAAAAAAAGATATCCTTCTAATAAATAATAACCAATGAAGGATAGATACAAATATATATATTATGTACCGCACCGAAACATAAGTTAAAATATAACCAACTAGCAAAGAAACAAATCATAATATGAATTATATAGTTTTAATAATCAACTGACACCATGAACTTTATAAAGTATAAACGTTGATAATTATGTGATAAAAATAAGTTTTATTATTAAATTATTAAAATATTATAATGATCAAATTCTGGAAAACATAAATCTACTCCACGCATAATATGTATGAATTACTTGAAATATATTTAAACAAGAAAATAATTGAATATATTATATATACAACAATTACAAAATAAACATTTTTTTTTTTTTTGAAGAAAATCGAATTAAGTAGAACGTTTAATAATTTCTTTGAGACATGAACTAAAGCAGTATCCTTATTTAATATAATATGAAAACAAATTTAAAGTTTAAATTGTCATCACTTATAAACATCACCCATCTACTTTAGAACCCTGTTCTGCCCGAGGCATTTGCCTCTCTTTTTTTCTCTCTCTCTCTCTCTCTCTATCTATCTCTCACTATATATTTAAATTGATATTGCGGTTTTGTAATATATATATATGAATCTGATTACATATCCGTAAGTCATAACATACAAATTTGCACAAATAATTTCTTTAATCGTTACGGGGTTCCCAAAGTATCATGTATTATTAAAATCTCATGTATATAACTATAATCTATATACCTACTAATCTACTATATTATAGTATATTTTGAATTCATTTTATTTTTTGCTCAAACACGATTTAATAATCAATAACTGGCCATTACAAATGCACCACTAAACCAACTTTTTTATTAGTTCACAAAATATGTTTTCATTTTTGTTTGAATAAGATAAATACACAATGGTATACTTGCAAACACTAGCAATAATACAAACAAAATACAATTTATGTAAGTGCTTGCGTTAAAACGATGTATACTTTTTTATAATAAAATACAAAATCCAACAGAATAACGTATAGTAAAATGTAGAAATAGTTTAATAAGTTTAATTATAAATCATAGTACAAACAATTACGAAAATTATCCTTCGTTTATAAGTAATAAAATAAATCCGATCTGCAATTTTTATGATCGTGTTGTAAAAAATAAAATAGAATCACATAAGTGTTTAATATTTTAGAAAATCAATACCGATAATAATATAATTTTTTTTATAAATAATTATCAGTATAAAACAAAATGTTGTCAAACAAACTCACTTATGAGTTTAACTCATATCTCGCATTTAGCATTACAATGGTTTTATACAAATTAGCTATAAGAGATAATGTATAGTTAATATTATCAAATCAATGAAAACAGTAAGCCAAAGTCATATTATGTTACTATATACTCAATATTCAATATTTTATAATTTTTTTATTATGATTATTATTTTTTCGGTCATTCTACAATCAGCACATATTATTATTATTATATCTAGTATAAAAATGATAAGCAATTTATGTAGGCTAAAAACCTTTGTAGTTGAAGCTTTATTTATCAAATTTAAAAATAAAAAAGTTATAGTTAAAATATTTATTAATTTAATTCATTAATAAGACTTGACAACATAGGGAGAGAAGTAAAAACTCTCCGTCACTTTGGTATATAATTTTGTATAATTTTAATATAACATAATATCAATCCAAATTTTTCAACTGCTTCTTTTATCTATAACTTAATTGCATAAACATAATTGATTTTCTATAAGTACTTTGAATAAATATAGGTGAGTAAGTACCTACTCGATAATAATATTCATATAACGAATCAAAGTAAGTTTCATTTTATTGTTATTTTAATTGCTAACTGGCCACAGAACAAAAACAAATCGATTTGATTAATTTAATTTCTTCATATAGATTTAAAACTGTTCGGTTTTTTCAATAATTTTTAAATAAAAATTATAATTTTATGAAAATCTATTTTTAAAATCATTTAAAAAAAACATTCACATATACTTTTTATAAGAAACTGTTTATCCATTTGATAAAAATATAAAGTACACTTGTATTCGTAATTATTGTATTATTTTTCATATTTTCATTGAAGCATAATATTATTAAGTTGGTATGTTACTATTCAATATTTATATTACTTATTTTGGATCTAAACAGAACTATAACATTTCAATTTTCACCAAATTGTAATATTATAATAATAATTTACCTGTTGGCTCTTTGAAAGTTCACAATATTATATTGATATAGTTTGGTGAAAATTGAAATGTTATAATACACGTGAATACGTGATCATATACAATATGTGGTGTAGGTACCTACTTCCAAGTTAATACATAATACTTCTATCATAATTCTATTGAATCAAATATGTATGCTGGTAGGTACCTATTTTACTATTAAATGCCTTTCCTTAATATATCTTACAGACTACAATGAACCTACTAAAGACAAAACACAACAGTATAGATAAGATTGTGGTTATAGTTATATATACAATTACACTAGACGAGTATGCGCCTTTTCATAATACTATCGTTGATATTACAAATTTATACAAACGAAGATAATAATTAATAATTACTCTTGTTGGTAATACAATGCACTGGTACTTAAAATAAAATTACTTACAGAAGTTTAAATTCAACATTTTTTTTTTTTTAAATGTCCGTATTCGATTAAATTAATAAACTTTAATGCTACATTATTATATGGCTTGTATTATTATTTTAAGTTTTGTCTTGATTCACCAGTTAAACCAAGCATAGCTACCAAATAATTTATTTTATTTTATAGGAGAACTTGAAACGCAATCGTTATTTAAGTAGTATTCTTGATTTTAATACTTTTTTTCGGGTGAATAAATAAAAAAATGTTGATGACAAATAATGATTACATAACAGAGGTGTTAAATACCTAATATCGGTGCATGAAAAAATGAACTGTTATAAAGACAATAATTGTGTTTTATTATCTTACACCGTCTGTATTGTCGAGAAAAATATTTGCCAAAATATCTTAGGAAACCCACATAATTATTATATAAGTCGTAATTACACTGTTTTAAAGATTAGATTTAGATTTTTTTCAACGCACCGGAATTCTGATACCTATGGTGTATACAATTTACGCATCAACTTTAAAAGGACGTTATACTAGCCTAATACTCCGTCCTACTAACGCATGGACATGACAAATTTTAAGCTCGGAAATTCAGAATAATCCTTTTTACATCATTTTTAACATTACAGAGAATTGGCTTATGTAATATAGAGGTATAAAGGTAAGAATACCTATTATTCAGAGCCCCGGGTAGGCTTGTTTTGATAATATTTTAATTTCAAGGCAAATCATGAGCACTTTGGATTTTACACAAAATGTTCATACTTGCTTCAGATTGAAGTATTTAAAAAGAAAGAGCCTACAGCAGGGGTCCCTGGATAATATTTTCGGCTATGAATTCGACAGGTCGATCTAAATGCACCTAATGCAGTAAAAATTGCAAAGAGTAAATAGTAAAACGGACCGTTCTGAGCGTACAATTTGCCATGTTTATAGTTCGTAAGACGGACAAGTCGCAATACCCGTTTAACGTGTGTCGTGCGGTATAACGTCCTCTTAAGTGCGTAATAAAGTAGACATAAAACATATGTATATAATGTAGTCGATGTATACACTTCAACATCAACGTGCCCGCAACAATTGGGCGGGCGCCCACGATGATGGTGTATGACGTGCGCTCTCAGAAATGATTTATTTCCGACCCTAAGTCACGAGAAGAATCTATCATTGCGACAGAGGATATCCCAGACAAAATTTCGGGAGACGGGTCGATAATAATATTATATTATACTGTGACGTCCGTGTCTACGTCGTGTCTCTGTGCACTTTGCAGCGCAATCGGGAGACGACGAGCAAACGCGGTGCTCCGGAAATCGGAGAACAGAACGACGAATGTCGCCCCGCTATATCGAATAAAAATACATTGAAATTCGAAATAATAATAAACGATAATAATTATTATCGATTGCGTTCCCATAATGTTATATTATTATTATAATTATTACTATTGTTGCAGTGTCGAATAGCAACGTCCGAACACGATGAATCGATCGTGACAGAAAAATTAAGTGTCGGCGGCGTTATCGTGGTCGGAGATTTCGATTAACAATTGGCGCCAAAACAATACGCGGTAGAAACATATTTTTACTGAGTGTGCTCACACTCCAAGCAGTCTGACACGGCGCGAGACACGGCGACGGGATCAATATAATAATATTATTATTATTCGACGACGACGACAAGCGACAACGACATTGTTGTTATTTTTTTGGTTACGTTGACGGAGATAAGACCAAGACGCAGAGAAAAAAAAACGTGAACTACATCGGTCATCGACATAATTGTACACATCGTGCACACACGTACGGTATATTGTTGTGCACTTGGTACCTAAAAAACGTGAATTAGCCAACGTTCTAAGAACACGCACGCTACAGACCGAGACGAGTGCAACGAGACAGAGCGAGCACAATAATAATGTGCATAGAGTATAATACGAAAACATCGGACACGGTCGAGCGAATAGCAATAATAATAATAATAATACGATATAAATGATATTATAATATTATTGTAATACAAATTAACGATAACGATTAAATAATAGGCCAAGCGAAGAGCAGTTAAGCAAACGTTTAGAGCACCTACCTAAATATTATCATGAGTAGGTATTATATTTTCGTATGTGGTACGTACCTATAATATGGCTATATATATACACGTATATATATATTATGTACGGCGTTAAAAATCAAATAAATAATAATTGTGAAAAAAAAATAATAATATAACAGTAACGAATAATAAAATCACATAAACAATTATAAATAATTACACCAACAGAAATAAAAACGTATACATAGCTAAAAAAAAAAAATTAAAAACAAAACAATGTGTAATGTTTACCACCTACTTGCGATAGAGCACTACTGATATAATAATATATCGTGGCCGTGTGTGTGTGTGTGTGTGTGCGTGCGCCGATCGCGCGCTTGCGTGTGTGCGTGTGTCTGTGCGCGCGCGGGTCGCAGCGCGCCGCCGCCTTGCTGTTCGCTTGCACACCGGGGCAGTTCCAACACTAAACGTCTAAACGTGGACGGCCGTACCGAAGTTATAATAGCGTGGCACAGCCGACGGTCTGCTGGTGCTGCTGCTGCTGCTCGTAGACGGCGGCGGCGGCGGCGGCGGCGGCGGTGGCGGTGGCGTTTTGTGTACACGCACCGCGTGTTTTGGCCTGCTGCCGTTGCTCCGTCGTTGTTATGGCTGTAGTTGCTGTTGTTGTTGTTGTTGTTGTTGTTGTTGTTGATGTTGTTGTTGTCGTCGTTGTTGACGGTTTTTTTTCTCGAATGCGGATCTGCGCAGCGCAGCCGTTGCACCGATGATCGCGGCAGACGGACATGCACGGCGAAATCGTTCCCATTAGGCGGGGAGGGCCTCCCTCCACTTGCCCGAATTCGTTTTTCCGGGGGACGTTTTACCTGTGCGCCGTCCTAATACCGACGAGTGACGGCGGTAGGGGACGTCAGCGTGTGCGGGGGGAACGATGTGACCCGCGGAGAGGGGAAGAAACCGGGTGGCCGTCTTACGCGCGCGAAGTATGTGCTATCGCTGCAGCGCGGCCGAGTGCGGTTTTGACGGGTGTCCTCAGCCGTATTTTACGTGCACTATATTATTTCGTCGTATAATAGGTACAATGCCACACGCGCACACTCATGACGCACCGGAAACGGCGTGGATTATAATATTATTGTTCGTTTCGTGTACGAAACGCACACCGGGTATAACTGTATAAGGTATGCGGCGGTGTGTCTGCGCGACCGGCGGCGTCACGGGGGAGGGATGTCGGAATGTTTAAAAAACGGCAAGCGGTAAAAACATCGCTGACGAAATATCTTCCTTTTTTTACGACGCATAAGGGATGCCGCCACCTCGCAGTGTTCGATGCGCGCACGCACACGCACACGTACACGCACGGTTCGAAATCGTGGAGCTCGGTGGCATTGTCGCGTGGCGCCGCGCGGCCGCCGGCGAATGCAACGCAAATACACCACGCTCGTTTTATCGGGTCGATCACACCGAAACACCGCAGCCACCGCCGAGTGCAACGACGTAGACGTCAGACAGACGTGTCGAAAATCGTCCGAGCGTGTGAGGGAGTAGTGTATGTGGGTGCGTGGGTGTCAGTAGCGCACCTAGAAGGGGTGGACTCGGGGTCCCCCGGGTGATTGGGAAATTTCAAATTAATCGAAAATAAAATTGTTATTTTTAGATTACATTTTTTGTCTACCGGTAGGATATATATAATATTATATATTGCAGTAAATCGAGTGTGGTAATTTCTATAGCAACGGTTGGTAGAATTTTTTTCTGATTTTGGAGCCCGTAATTGGTTTTCGACTCTAATGATGTATACACTTTTTTTATCCCACGATAATAATAGATTTGTAGTCCTTGGTCCCCACCACGCACCCAACCGGTGGTTGCGCCACCGGTGAGTGCGTGTGTGCATGTATGTGTGGGCTGTATTGATAGAAAACAGCTCTCCGAATCTCTGATATTTCCTGCGGCTTCGGCGATAATGCGATATTCGAACAATTCATAATATCGCGGATGATAATAATCATTACCCATCAGTTTTTCGTCCAAACGCCGCATATTGGTTTTGCACTGTATTTGCAGTTTTCTGAGGTTTTCACGGCCGTCGGAGCGCCGCTAATCCGCCTCCGCGTGCCGTCGAGCCTTATCTCACTTTCTCCACCTCGAAAATTTTTCCCTTTTCCCGCGATCACAGACCAGCACGTTTCATATACGCGTACATTGCGATGTAGTCGAACTGATCCGTTCCCCGCTTTTGACACCCGACCACGATATCAGCTACTCGTCATTATAATATTAATATCGCAGTACCTATATTGTGGTATTATATATCAACATGTAGTCACGTATACAGGTATACTCTATGTATATATAATATACGAGAACATAAACCACCGATAAAAAGTGCACAGCGATTAAAACCGGTGTATACCTATTACAACTATATTGAACGCCATTAAAATTATAATATTTATGCACGTCGGCATATAATCGTTTCCGTATTTGTTTAAGTATCAATTTTTTTCTATCGATCGCTGAGACGACTCAACGTTATCCCTCCCCTATCGCGCATGTGCCTCCTCATATCATCGAACGTTTTTCGAAATTGCAGTAAATCGTATATTATTTGTGTTTAATCGTCCATTTGGAGAGGACAGATCTCTATAATTAATGATAAGGTATATTTTAAAAACAGATAAAGATTCACTACCGGATTTACTACAGTACTATTACTATAAATAATAATAATAATACAAAGTACAATGGTCAAATCATTATAACACTTAATACGGTCGATTTGTATAAATTAACATTAACATACTTTCATATTTTAATCGTTTTTAGTATACGTCATTTATTGAAGTTCACGCAATGATTTTTTTACAGTGATTGGGTTTCGATGTAATTGAATATAACACGGTTTCTAATATGTAAGTAAGGCTTGGATTTTTACGTATTCAATATTCATACATCCAAAATATTATGTTTTTATTACATTTGACGCATAAAATTTCAGACAAAGCAATACAAATTGCGGCTTACTGGGGAGCGAAGGGAATATGAAGACCGATACGACAAGAAGAAGATTACATTAAAAGATGTACTTAGTAAATATGTGCTAAGATCAACATATTTTATTTATTTATAATTTTTAACTACAAATAAATTAAATAAAAGGTTTATTCTTATTATAACGAAACTTTAGTGTTTAAGACTTAATTACCTACTTTCGATTGCAATGGATTCCACTTACACATGCATTTTAAAATACTAATTTTACATTAGTAATTGGAAATTATAGCTAATTCGGCTGTGAAGAGCTGACTACATTTGTTAAAAAATAAACAATAATTTTCTTTTTACAACAAACGTTGAAGAAATGCACTTAATCAGATCCCCTAATAATATCTGAAACGTTTTTGTTTCCTCTGTCATAAATAGTTACTACCTACTGTCTTGCAATAGAATATAATACGTATAAATTAAAGTTAAAAATAATCAAAAATAATATTATTTTTATAACAGTAAAATGTAAAAGTTATTATTGATTGCATTTGTTATAATTTGATGGTAAACATAACAATTAATTACTTAATAGCAATATTTCTATTTTTTTTTTTATGAAAAAGAGTTTAATACATTACATCTATATACATAATATACAATTGTGTTGCTTAGAAATACATCAACTTTAATAAAAAAAAAAATATTGCTCAATAGACGCTAGTAGTTGTAGAAACATGCAAATATTGCGAATTTAAAACGCTTATATACTTACTAGTCACAACTCGTAGACAAATTATCACTGGACGACAGCTTTTTATTTGTGGTTTTGTTTACATTTCAAAAATCAAATAATTTTTTCTCATCATGAATTAATTTAAATTTTTTAATAATGCGAAATGTTTAAAAAGTCAGTAAACTGTAGTTATTAATAAAACGGAAAATTTTAAATGATTTAATGGAAATATTTAATTTAACGTCGCTCACAACTCAAACGCTATGTAGTATGTGCGTAACAGTTACACAGATGTATATTAATATGTATAATGGAATACTCTAGTTCGTTTGACATTTTAAACGAATTTTATTTCCAGGAAAAGACGGGTGATCAAAGAATAAAAATCGACTCCAACAAGTAATAACAGACCAAAATTGAATCAAATTATAAATTATTCTAATAATAAATCGATCAAATTTTTCAAGCAATAAAACTATGTAAGAAAAATTATTAAGATCTAACCTAACTTACTCGACAATGTGCTAATTAATTTTTTGAGGCGTGAACCTTCACTCCCCTATCACCACCTATGGATATAGATACTATATATTAATAAACTATTTTAGACAAGACATATACAACAAATACAGACTAAATAACAAAATGCTCATCACGGTAATTGAATATTGGATTTCTGGATATCTATCAATATAATAAATCACATTCAAAATTATTTATAAGAAAGTACCATAAGATTTTGGTATTCTATTAAATAAAGTAGTATCTTACAATAAAAAAGTTTACCTATATATACATGATATAATATGAGGAGACACGCATCTATAATATAATATTATATATTTATATTATATTATACATAACAGATTTAACGGTCAAAGAATGAGTATTTTCATGATTGATGAATATTGCCCTATTTTTTATCGATGAAATTAAAAATATAAAGATCCAAAACGAAAATCTCCGTACTTCTTTTACCTATGGTGTCCCGAACAAAATTAAAATATGTACGTATTTGTAAGTGTATAAGAACTACACAGTACATATACTTTACTAAAGACTGGGTTTCAAAAGTACATTTAGTTTTCGTTTGGTTAAAAAGCCAATGAAATTATTATTAATAAATAAGTTATAAGTCATAAATTATTTTCAATCAAACCCTGAGATCGTATATCCTTAAAGCAGTGCCGTACTGCAGAATACTATTACTCGACCATGTTTTGTTATTTGTTTTACAACAATATTTCTTTTTTTACATATAACTATACGAATGTAAATATTTTATATTTTTCATAAAAAATACAAAACTATTATTTTACCTTAAGAGAAGGATGATGGACCACGCTGATTCTGGACGATTATTCTCTATACACCTGTCAGTTTAAGACTTAAAATGATTTTAACTACGCATGTAAAAAAAAAAAAAAAATAGGTACCACACAAACAAATTTTAACCTTGTAAAATATTTCCTCACAAGTTACTAATCAAAATATTAACATTTGTGACATATTTTTCTTGTGTACTAAGTATATATATAGGCAGGCACGTGATATGAATGCCTCTCTCTTCCAATCAAAAATCCTGGCCAATCTCGTTATCATAATTTTGTTTTTAACTATTATATGCAATGTATTTTAATACTGCTCTACTATTATGTGTAAGGGGCAAATATTGGCAATAAATATGTTGATTCTATAATTTAATACTAACAACTTTTAAAACAGTAATCGACACCTACCATAGATTTAATTTCACGATTTATCAAGTTTATCTATTTTAACTATAAGCATATTAAACAAAATTAAAATTGTAATAAATGAATACCTATTAAAGTATATTTAATATTTATACATTCAATTTTGTTTTTGTTTTTTGTTAACATATAATTATTATATTATGAGCATCGAGTCTAGAACAAATTCTCAGTCGTTTATTTTATCTATTCGCATTTCATGATCAACATTTACCATACTGATAAAGTGATAAAAGTAATGTTTTATAAAATATTTTTGTTATATTAATTTTAATTAGTCGCAACTTACTACATATAATAATAATATAATTTAATATAAGTATTTAACTGTAATTGCCTATATGTAACTATACACATTTATTCTACACATCGTTCTATAAAAATCGTGTTTTTATTGGATACTATGTATTATTTTACTAAATTTTAGTCAAGATGTTTATTACAGTGTTACATATACAATGTTAATTATATTGCATGATCAAAATGAATTATAAGAAAATAGTTTTAATGGGTCCAATATTATCACTAATATTATTATTTACTGTAACTATACTGCAGACTGCAGTATAGGTAGCTACCGTTTTCGTAACTCTGTTTACATTTTAGTATCAATTTTTACAACAAATAGCTAATAACAACAATAGTAGCATTTCTACAACATAATGTACTTAGTTGAAGATATCAAAGCTGCATAATTATGTCTATATTTTTCAAATTAACATATTATACAAAAAACATTTTTTTTAACTATTGTAGCTTACCGTTTAGTTATAAATTTACAATTTAGTTAAGACAATAATATTTTATAGTTTATAGTAGTATTGTATATACAAAACACTCTACATGTCTAAATACATTATATTTGTATACACAAACATTGGGTGGTATAATAATAATTAGTACCACAGTACAGGTAACTAAATAGGTAGATACATACAAATAGTTACCTCTACATACCTACGGGATACGAGTCTAAGACAGAATATTTTTAATATTTCAGCACATTCATTCACACCTGAAGAACAAATTGTAAAAGTTTTCATTAAATAACACATGTACATTATTTAACCATTTTAACCATAACTCTATCATTGGGTGCCTATACAAAAAAAAAGCGGGTAAGTGAGTAACGCTCTGCTGTACATTAGTGGTCTAGATGAGTCACTGTAATGGATGTGTCAAATTTGAATTCAATGATGTAAAATCATTGTATATACGAGAAACGATTCTGAGCGAAGACGGACGTCAGCCTGTAATATGACTCAATATATTTTTTGATATTTTAGTTTTCTTATGACAATATATTCATTTTTATAGAATTAAATAAATATATAAATATAAGAATGTTCTGGCAAATTGATTAGTTTTTATTCATACTATATAAATATTTCATTCCTCAATTATTTCAGAAATTTTCATTGATAAATGATAAGCTTAAAATAAAAAAATCACATAACTTGGTTTTAATATTATATTGTAGCCCATGATTTGGAATGAAATCTATTGAGGAAAACGTGCAGTGGAATGTCAAAATTGTTTTTGCAATACTTTCATAGTCATATGTCTTTAGGCTAAATATATCAATAACTTTTATAACTAGGTCAAAACTCAAAATGTAGAAAATAATAAACATATAATATGATGGTATTGCAATCCGTTGTTGAAACGTAATTTTTATCTGCTGAAAACAAGTAATACTAGATTCTAATTTAAAACTAGAAAAACTATTATTAATTTAAAAATATTTATCTGAAAATCTTCAAATCCTCATACTTAGAATATATATATTTGTATAAAAAAGAATGTATCGCATAATAACATTATTATCAGCTCCCGTGTGTTGCATCTATGTTTTATAGTATTATAAAAAAATAAATTTCATACAATTAACAATATTCATTAACCTTCTGAATCAATTATACAAATATATTATTTAAACATACCACTCATCCAAAATTTAAAACATTAAAATCAGCAAAAATAAATATAAAAGTTACTCTAATTGAAGTTAAAAATTATGCAAATCTCAAACAATTATGTATTATAGTAAATATTAATAATGTTATTTTACATGAGGACATTTAAGTCTCTAATAATCTAGTAAAAGATATGAACTGTTTCATAATTTATAAGACCGTAAATCACTAAGGCTCCGGTTTTGATAATAACAAGAAAATAATTGTAATAGGTACTTTTAAACATTTGAACTAAGGTAGTGTAAATAGGATCCGTTATATGATTAAAATAATAACACAATTAAAATAGGAGGCGTTTTAGTATTAAATAAAAAGTAATGCGTAAGCATAAGAGACTTAAGAGGATTTATTTCAGTAAAATAAACACGACAAACCAAAAAAACCGATAAATGAATAAAACAATTTATGTATCACAATCTTTCGTTTTGATAAATGTCAGACGTAAATACGGAATGTTTAACTATGTACTATGTCTATATCTAAATGAAAATACAAAAGTGATAAATTTGTATGAATTTAATAGGTAGGTACGTATACGTACACCATTTAAGTGAAAAATTACTTCTACGTCAAAACGAAATTATTTTACGGAACTTATCTCGTTACCTGTAAGAAGTTTTTCTCCGATACATTAACATGCGAACACTTGAGAGTTATGAATACCTATATATATTAACTGCTCGAAGTATTAATTTATCTCTGTTAGTTTAAATATTTATAAAATATGGAAACTGAAATTCAATACTATAGTAAAATGGATTCTGAAGATTGTGTACTTTTTTTATAATATACTGATTTTGGGTTAAATCATATTGAAAAAACGGGTAAGTGGATATCGATATGTTGTACATTAGGTGTCTAGGAGGTCTCTGTAATGGATGGTATTAAATTTAAATTCAATGATATCATCATATCGTTGTATACGAAACACGATTCTGAGCGGAGACGGTACGTCAGTTTAGGATATTTTATATTGTTATTATACTTATTATAAATATGGTAGTCGGTAAGTTAAATTAATATTATTATTGAATTATCAGTGACACTGGAAAAATATTAAATAGTAAAATTGGGCTGTTTTGGAACCGAATTACAACAAAATGATAAACGTTATTCTTTGTGTTAATATGCAATTTTGTCCAAATTTGAACATAAAATGTCTGTACAAAATAACTATATTCATAATATATTTGTTCACTACTTAGTCACATACTTTGTCAAATTCTAAGTTTTTATTAAGCTCATAAAAAATTATTGTGAATTTACGCTCGACTTTCCATTAACAACAGTTGTTGTAAATGAATCAGTAAGTTTACTAGGAACCTTGTATAACATTTTCAAGGTTTTTGACAGAGCGAAAATTTTTTTAACGATTTGAGTTTAAAAAAAATAAATCGAAAATTTCATATGCCTATAAATAGTTCAACACAAATCAAAATATTTTGAATATTTTATGGTGTATAGAAAATGCTTACACAAAAATTCAATGAAAATTTTAGGAATCTACTATCATTTTTGTTAGAGTTACTAAATTTTAAACCAAAATCGATTTTTTCGAAAAATGTTTTTAAGTAAAAATTCCCGTTTTTCCTTAATTTTTTTGTTTGTTTTTTCTGTTGCTTTTGAAAACTATTGGGAATTTTAAATTTTGACCTCCCGAACGCACCAACTAGATTCACTTTCCTACCAGAAAAGTTGCTGTTGAAGAAAATCGAACCACTTCTACTGCAAGAAACCGAGAATAGACATAAAAAATAAGAAAAAGAAATTTAAAAACACACATCATTGTAAAATCAATACATTCATCGCTCCGCTCAGAATCTAAGATATAAGGTTGCACATAGCAATAGTTGCGATAGTTGCAATAGCTATAAATATCTACAATATCTACATAAGCAAGATTAAATTTACCAGTTTGGTATTTTATATAATATCATGTTTAAAACTAGATGACTGTCGACTATATTTTATAAATTATTATGTATATAACTAAACAATAATAACATAAAAATATTATCTTATTGCAACGTTACGAATTTTAAAAAAAATGCTTATTACCTGGTAACAAAATATTATAATTATATGAATTTATACATACTGTAAGAAAAAATGTAATGAAATTCATAAAAGATTTGTGAATTTATGTTGAATGACAATTATTATAATAACACATGTTTTATTTTGTGCTTCACTGAGAAATGGCGCATTTACGAGGGTGGGGGAGTTGAATTATGAAGTATTTAACCCCTTAATCTAAGTTTACACAATACAGTTTTACATCTTAATAATAATTATAATACAATATTAAAGATATTTGTTATCTTCATCAGGCGCTGTAAAAATAAAATTAAATCTCCCCTTCCCGAAAAATACAAAACAATAATATTATGTTTTCTCAATTCATACAATGCACGAATTATTTATTACATTGTGTAAAATTATTGAAGAAAATTGATGTGATCGATATGCCTACAAGAAAATGATTTGAGCAAAAGCGCAGAGAATCTATGCACAGTTAAGAAATCAATAGAGGCTACACTGCGTATACAATAATTCGTCAGCATCGGGGGAAAAAAACAATAAACACTATTATAGTGGCTCACAATATAGGAACGACTAAGGTTGTACGCTAAAATATTAAATTGCCGGTTTTAGTGACTCATGGACGTTTCTGTGCGCAGTTTATATTATATGTTCTTCCAGCAGACATCAGCACATTGCACGCTGAGATGAGTTTGATTGAGTATTTTCAATAATAATATGATATAGTGACAAAAATCGAACCGTGCTCGTGTACAGTATCAATGTGGATTCGCAAATGTCAATAAAATAATTAACAATAACATGATAAACGCACAACCAAATTATTTTCTTCACTCGCCTAGTTTGAATAGTAAGTATATATTTCTGTATCCATTTTATACTAGCTTTTATCAGTAAGTAAGTAGTAATCAAGTGATTTTTTTTTTCTGTGGACATTTCTCTTTTTCGTTGACTATTCGTTCGAATGTCAGTATATTATACTCTATACATTAATTAAAGAACTGTAAGGATATATATTGTTTCAATTAATCAACAGCATCGGCCACATTATTATACAATGATTCACGATGATACTATATCAAGTTAACGATATGGTGTGACGAGGAGTAGGACAATTGATCGCAAATTATTTTTGTACTTTTGTATTGTTGTATACAGCCGTTAAAGGAAAACAATATTTTTTTCTTCTAAAAATGATTTCATTTCTTTCAGTGGTTAAAATAATTCTTTTTCGTTAAAAATGTGTGATGAGATCAGATTAATAATATTGGTTGCCCATTATTTGTCGATGGAAACATACTTATTTAAGATTTTTAATAAATGTAACTAATAATAACTGTATGCTTAATAATATTTATTATAAATCATAATTTCCAAAACCATTTGTTAAAATATTGTATGTACAATACTAACATAACATTCTGACTATGAATATATCTTCTTAAGTGCAATTATATTGACTATTATTCATTTAAAATGTATCGATTAATTGATCGATATTTTTCATTACTAATATAACAGAAACAGTATTTAAAAATAATTATTTGATTAAAAACATAATTTTAAGTTTTACTTTTATTTTCACTTGTAATAATGAAATTTACTAAACATCAATAAGTGTTGTTAATTGTAACAAATTATTCAAGTCAATAAATATTTGTCATTCACCGTTATAAATTAAATGTATAATGATATGTAATTAATAATTATACTCCATAATTAACACCACCATAAGCCACATCCATTAAAAACATTAAAAATGTTTAACAGTATCGACGATAATATATACGATTACAAAAATTGAATTCCGCAATATTCCGCTATTATAATTGTATAAAAATATAAATAATTTAATAATATTTGTGCACCGGTACAACGGGATGACTGACGTCAAAACTTACAAAGCTCATTCCGTACTAAAGTCTTATCAATAGTTTGTTAAAGGACATTTTTATTTAATTTATGATTGAATAATTACAATATATTATATTATACTAATTAGTTATCCAAAAAAGTAATTGCGACTTTTACTGTAAATATGTTTGGTGTTTACAAATGACACAAAATGGATTCGATTAAAAATATATTATCGAAATGATGTTAATACACTTTTTGACAAATTACCGACATTGACACAATTTAGAATCCATACGATTTCATTGTAAAATTTTGAGTTGTTGTTTTGTACGCATATACGTTGAATAATATTTAAGTAGGTATGATACATGATATTTGTAATATTTGTACAAACATGCGTATTGTATATGATAAATCGTAAATGATAATGTTGTGAACCATTTATTGTGTCGTCGTTATAGCGTGATGTTGTCGTTGCTGATGGTATAAATCGTCATTGTCGCTTTATTATAATATAATTATTGAATTTGTAAGTATGAAACAAACCACAAACTCATACGAGGTGCACGGCGGTATCCGTTCGACCACCTGAAGAATTTAAAATATTTAGATATTCGGTTAGAATAAGTAACGCGAAGGATCGAGCAGCGAGGTCGTCTGAAAAAAAGGTATGATGGTAATGTCAATGAAAGTTTGAGGTTTCCTTTATTATTATATAATTACGATTTATTTTTATTTTTATTGCATTAGAAGGTATAAGGTGTGAGGTATCTATTGTTTATTATTTCGTTGTTGTTCCTCGCGAGTCGTGACTGCGCAGTGCTCGTCCGCGCGTTATTGAAAAAGTCAAGGACATGAATACACGTTCGTATATTTTGCAAACAAACCACACACGTGATTCGGATTTCAAAGCCGAGGCGATTACAATCTAGAATATTATATTATATTATAATGTCAATCACGGCTTCCACGGTCGTTACATGTTCAGACTAGTCACTATAGGTAGTATTGTACTGATAAGAAGGCAACGACCAAGAGGGCCGGAAACCACGAATCACTATATAATATTATATGGGAACGTTCAATCGAAAACTAATGACAACCATATCTTGCGCAATCGGTACAAGCACTATTATAGTGCTAGCCACTAGGTTTAGGTAGGTAAATCCCTCTACTGTACAATCTTGTAGACTCCTGGAGGGTTCGTACTCCTACTAGAAAGGGGTAGGGGTGCACTAATGGATACCACCCTCTAGATAAAAATACAATAAATACATACAACATTTGTTCCACAAAAGTCTTTGTTGAAAAAAAAGCAGTCTACTGAATAGCTTCACTGATAAATATAATATTCGATTATTGCTATTTCAAACGTGGTTAAAGAACAATCCTTTAGGTATTGGTGTAGGTATTATATTCGGTTTAGATAATATAACTATTCAAAAATCGATATGGTTGAAGCCTCCAGATGAAATTTTTCATCGAGCTTATATAAATTATATCATGGTAAATTGTATATTCATATCAGGCCAGATATGTGTGTAATATAATTAGTATACAATGATTTTTATTCTTAACCCAGAAAAGCAGGACGTTACTTTAATTTTAAATTTTAAATTGTGATGATTTGAATATTCAGCAACACAAGTATACGAATAATAAACGTTCATTTTCACTATAAAGTAAATGTATTTGGATACAATGATATTGTCCAACGTCGAAACGTGTTGAAATATGAAATTAGTCTAATAACACTGAGTTGAATTAATTGCACAATTTTAATTATTTCGAGATTATTTTATTTTGATGTTATCCGTCACTCGTTAAACGGGAGTTGAAAGTTGTTCATAACTAAATGCCTTAAAAGTCTGGATCTAATTTTCTGAATACCTTATACTTAAGACGTAATACTGTCAATAATATTTTATTATTTTCTGGCTGTAAACTTCATATTGAGATAAATATTTTTTACTGGGCACGTGTCAAATTGAATGATCAATTTGTATTAAATTGAATGATAATGGTTTCCCTCCCTGCAGTAAAATAATTAATCTATAGGTGCACCATTATGGTAGAGGCTTTACAAATAGTCAAACTACTACAATATATATTTGTAACTTTATAGTTTATACACAGTTGTTGATCCAATTAAAGTATTAATGTATATAGTAGAGTTCAAGTCGTCATAAGTTATAGTAACCTGCATAGATAGGAATTTATAGTAGTAAAACACTTATTAACTTGCATTATAAATGTATTATAAGTTATACATGGCAAGATACAAATTTCAATGCAATGGCACACGACGTGCGTTTAAAAACGGAAATACTTGTGTCGATGCAATACTTGTATTAATTTATTCCAAATCATTATATTTACTGCTCGATATGTAAAGCTAAGATAATTCTTTTTTTAATATAAGAATGATAAGCTTAAAATTAGTTAACAATGCAGAGATAATTTTTCATTTAAATTATTCAAATTATTATTTTTTTGAATAATTTTGAATTTTTTTTTTTTATATTTTTTAATTATAGCCCCATTCGTAGTCATGTATATCAAAAAACGCCGTTTAGCTCTTATCATAAAAATAAATTAATATTAAATAGAGACATTGGGGATGTGGCCGGCGCGGTGTGAACTCAGTTAGACGTCTAGGCATTAGAGTATGAAATCTATATTATCGTTAAGAATGAATTAAAAATAAAAGACGTAGAAATTCAAATATGTGTAAATATGTACAAATAATGGTCGACTGATGAGGAACTACCTGCAAAGATAAAATATTTGTTGTGACGCCGAAAAAAACGATAAAAATAAAGCACATAAAATGTTGGCTAAAAACACGATATGTGATGTAATAAAAACTGGTTGAAAAACTAGCCCGACAATCTATATAACTATACCTACCTACCAGCTGATTATTGATGAAGATGAAAATAATACTACATTTTTACACAGTATAGAAAATACAAATTGATATTTGTAAGTTCGAAAATTGATGAGAATATATTATAATATTATATACATAAATTCATGATATACGCGTACATTATTTTATTTAATATTATATAACTTGAGACTTGAGTTACTTAAGAGGACTTCACACCAGCATTTTATTTCGTCGTCCGCTCGTGTTCGTCTTACGAGCATTCAACATATAGCAAACTTTAGAAGCACAATACTCCATTTTACTCTGTTTATTTTTTCTTAATAAAATTTGAGCAAATTGACTATATTTGATTGACTTATCATATAATCTGAAGGCAATATTATTGTAATACTATTGGATAATAATCCAGGGCATCTCGGAGACTTTTATTGCTATTTTAATTACGCAGCAAGTATAATGAGCATTTTAAAACTACATTTTCAAGAGATCGTAACTTGCTTCGAAATAATTATAATATCAATAAAAGCCTACGGAGTCGCCTTAGATAATAATCGCAACTATAAATATTGTATTTTATACTCGATACGAAGAGTAGGTACGGTGTAATGTGTACGGTCAAATCACTGTAATTTATTTTAAAAATAACAGAATAAAATGGATTGTAGAAAACGTAAAATTGTCTACGAAGACATCGCGTCATGTGGGTATGTGGGTTACTCAACTACTCAAAAAGTACATAATATGGGCGGAGGTGATGCAGTATGCATATACTCATCGTACATTTTTCGATTTTTGCAGAAACGATGGACAGCAACGTTTGCGGGGAAACAGAACAGCGAGCGTGATGCCGATCAACGGTAACGCGTTGGCCAAGTACTTGGTCATGGTGTCGCAGGTGATCGCTTGGTGTACGGTTAGCGCAATGCTGTTGCGAAGGGGCCTGAACCAGGTGAACGCCGCCTCGCAGCAACCGCCGGCGTCGTCGTCGTCGTCGTCGTCGTCGTACGGCGGTTCGGGCTCGGCGTTCGGCGACAGCAACGCGACATCACCAGCGGCCACGGCCACCGGCCACCATCAGCACGGGACGCCTGCGGTGGTGGAAAAATCGTTCGACGAAAACGGCGCGCCCGCCGTGGTGGCCGGCGTCGTGATGATCGCGATAGCGGTGATCATGTTGATCATCAGCCCCACGATCATGGTGATGAAAATGATCGAGAAACGCAAGAAGAGGATCCTAGACACGGTGAGCATGTAGCGCGTCGAAAAAAAAACACAAAACTTCATAGGTAGTTCATTATTATTCGCAGCTAAGTCGTGTGTCGCGTCGTGTTGATCAGATACCATTGTGATTTGACATTCATTTTTTGGTATCATGTATAATGACCAAGTTGCAACCGAGTATACCAAGAATTGAATACAGCTCAACTTTTAAACCGTATTGGTTATCAGTTGTAACTATATAGTATATAGTTACCACGCCCTCGGACGACACGACACGCGACGTAGCTGCGGCGAATCCGGCTTGAAGGTTTCGGGTGATGTAGTTTTATCGGCTCTTCTTAAGTCTTACGCAATTTAAATCATTAGAAAATCATTGCCAAGGTACTTAAATCATTTTTTTTTAATACAATATAAACACATATTTATACAATTTTCCTACATCAAGAATAATAACTACTTATTCCTAATATGTAATATTATTTTTTTTAATGTTATATAGGTACTTTCATTCGTTTTTATACTATATAAGTACCTATATGTAACATAAAAAAAAATAATATTGCCTATTACGTATTGGTAGTTATTATTCTCGATGTAGGAAAAATTGTATAAATATGTGTAAAAATATAAATACTTCAAATACTTTTGAAGTCCAATCAGTATAATTATTAATGTGATATAATTTCCACGTCGCTGTTATATAGCCTATAGATGCCGGCAGCTACCACTACCCAGCCGCGACCACCCATTCTAATTATAAACGTTATCAGGTGCACCGAAAGCACCCACCTGATGCACCCCTCTGGCCATCTATCTATATAGAGTTATTCGATATTCGGCTCACTCTGTACTTAAATGGGTCAAGTCATTATTAGGGACCAAAAGTACATCGCTGAAATCGCTTTCCCGAGTGTATTACCATTGACTGAGTATAAGTATTAAGTATACTGTATAGCTGGTACGCTTTGGTATATTTATTATAATCAATGGTATTACTCGCCAGCAGTAATAATTATTGTAATCGAAACGTATATGTTTTGTTTATCGCATATCATTAATAAGACGTTAACAGAGAAATTGCAATTTCTGACCAATTAATCATGTCCCGAAACAAACACGATTCGTTTGTCATATAGTTGTTAATTTATTTACCCCGGTCGCGGTGTACACAACTAGTTTTTTTATTACATTAATATGGTAATTTATATTTTATTATATATTATTATAATATTTAAAAAAAAACTTGATATAGTTTTTTACTACTAGTATTATATTTACTCTGATAAAAAAAACGCCTTGAAAAATATAATAATTTAACGCGTCTGAGACTGCCAGACGAGATTAATTTTTTAAATATTATAGATTATTTTATTTTGTTTACGTCTTACAACAAGTGTCTGTCTATTACCTGCAATATCCATGGAATATTCAGAATTAAATTATCAATTGGATGTACACCAATATTTAATATAGCATTATTATATAATATTGTAATGCTTTAAAACAGATTATAATATCATTTGGATATTCTGATCAGTTACGAATTGGGACGGTGGCATTCCAGAATTTTATATTTTTGTCAAAGTAGGGTTGGAGTGTTATAGAAAGCTGAATATCTAGAAGATTTTTCAGATTTCATAATATGAATGAAATAACATTATGATTTCAGTGTGAATAGTTTTAACAATTTGAGTGGTTCGATCTTGATGTGCTCAATATATATTTATTACATACATGTCTGAACTAAAAATTCTAAAAGTCTGTTGAAAAATTTGATATGTAGAAGTTAGAAATTCCTTAAAAAGATTCAGAAAGTCACAATTTTTAAATTATCATTGAAAACAAGATGATTACGTCGACATTCCATTGAGTTAAATATGTTGAAAGTGTTATATTATATTTACGTACAATATTATGGTTGAATGTTTCCCGAATTTCGCTACTATAGTTTTAAATTTAACAATAATTTAATCCGTTAAAAATTATCATACCAGTTAGATAATGAACAAAATTAAAATACTAAAACGTGTACAAAATATTTAATATAGAATCATACTGAATAGAATAGAATAAAAACGAATGAGGTCCCAAAAATATTTATTTTATAATTTGTTAATTTAATACTACTTAAGTAATACACAAATTTATCTACCTGCATGTAATATATAAGACGGATACGTCTTTTGTTACACGTTGTACATTCTATGAGTCACAACTCACAAGTTTAACACACTGTCTATACACTATTTGATTGATGAATTATTTATAACTTATAACTTATAAGTTACCTATAAAAATAATAATTGCCTACGACCCTCTAAGTATGGGTGTGCAGTCAGTGATCACCCATAATAAATTATAATCTTTCAGTTGGTTGATTCAATTTTTTAATTTTGGGACAACAGTTTTCCCCATCCTCTAAACTCGATCACGAAACTTAACTCTGGGATTTAAAATCAATTGTAGAAAAGCTTAGTACATTCGTACATCGACAACAATCACACCTCTAGGGTTCTAGAACAAAATTATGCCACAACTCAAAATTGATGACTATACTATCGAATAGTGAAAAAATAGCATTCATTATCATTTTTCATTTAGCCACCAAAAATATGTGTTAGTACCTATTGGACTATTTAATTTTTAGCTCATTTTCAAAGTAAGAGAGCCATATCTACGTTTTAGCAGTACATGTGGTTATTTTAATTTATCCAATTAATCACTGGAGTCAAAATTCAGCACTTCCTCATTTCGATTTGTGGCGTTTCTTACACTAAATAAAATCTTATTATCGTGTGATATATTGAGTGCTTAACCGCAATATTTAGAATTGTGGTGGTGTAGTTTGTGATATTTCAGCCACAACATTAAATTCAATACTGCAATATTTTAGTATATGGCTGTCTTAAAATTAATTTATGTTTGCAATACATCTCAAAATTTGAGTCTTGCTTCTACTTAAAAAGATTGTCAAAAACCACAAGACACAAGTCTAACGTCTTGGGCTTAAGATGGTTTTATTATTATATAATCTTTGAAAAAGTCATATTGGAAACTGCAAAGTATATTTGCAAGTATTTAAGTTTTTAGTTTCAAACGCAAAGGCAAAGGACTATTTAAAATATCTTCGATTCAAACTTCAAATCGATTTTTCTCGAAACTGTACATTTTGATAACAGTTAGCATTCTCATACCTATACTGTTTTTAAAACTTTACGTTTACTGTCAGTAATAGTTGTTACCAACTGTTGTTGATGATGTCATTGTACTAACAATAAGGGACCTATATAGTAAAAAAATATATCCTCTCTCTTCTAGAATAATGACAATACCATTAACAATTGCTTTTTACAAATATTCATACATCATAGTTGGAACAATTCACATAAAATCGACAAATTTACAATAGGGATAAGATAATAATGCCACAGTCTACTTCATTATATAACATGCCACGGCGACGGCGTTTTGTTAAATGTAGCCTATATAGGTATAGGTAGGTTAGGTTACCTGTCGAATATTTGTGTGTGGTGTGTGCCCGTGTCTGAGTTTTTCCAATACGTGTTAATTAATTAAATTAACTAACGATATGTTTTGTTTGTATAGGAATTAGAATCTCCGCCTAAATACGAAGACGTGGTAGAAAGCGCCCCAAGATATTCATCGTTGTTTGTATTTAATAACGATGGCGAAATGGCTTTGGTGTCTGAAAATATACTACACAAAGAAAAGGATAATACTCAAAAACAACTAGTTTGAACACTTCATGAATTAATTTTATATTATATATATAGTCTAGTAGTCTACTTCAAATTTCCTATACTGCCTCTACAATCTACATCGGTTGGCCTAAACCTACAGATAGTTTTTCAAAATATATTTATTTGTGACTTGATTTGGTGTATAAACCTTAAGCTATAAGTTGAAACCCATACATGCGAGAATATTTTTAAATTAAATGAGATGTATATTTTTTTAATGTGCAATTATTTTTTTTTTGTATTTTTATACATGATATATATTTGACATATTATCACAACTTGTAATATTTCAGACTATATTTTTAAATCAAAAACAGACCAAATTAAAATTTTTTTTTTTGACGAAGTTCTATAAATACATATAAGACACAAAATTAAATGAACTGATTATATAATATGTAGGTATAAAGATTTGTATTCATAATAATTTAATTCAAACTTACAAACAATAATTGGTGTGTTAAGTAGCTGTTACTTACTAATAGCCAATAGGTATTAGGTACTATCTTTTCAAGTATTATATAATAACATTATTTATTGGTTTAATACAAAAATACTTATAATAGTAGTCAGTCATTAAACCATAAACTAAAAATTGAATATTAAAGGTTCTATATTAATCTTACCTACATTTACACATGCTTTATATTTATATATTATATAAGTATATTTCGCATATGTAAATAGCGTACGTTATATATAATATATGTATATATAATGTACGCTAGAGTAGACATGTTTATCATTAAAATATAGAAAATATGGAGGTCTTTATTCCCAATAGGTAGTTACTACTTGTTATAATCAAGGCCGGCTCAGTAGCGGATCCAAAGGTTCTTCAAAAGTGATGTTTCATAAAAATGTGTATGATATTATGGAATTCTGTACTACTTATATACAATTTTCTATTTCCAGCAAATATGTCTATTTTACTTTAATATATCGGTACCATATAAACAATTACATAATATTATTAGAATTAGCTAGGTACGTAAAAAAATACGGGGGGTCTACACGGTCTATAAGCGGTAGACCGGAAGAGCGATCACCCTATCGCACCTTCTCCGTATAGTTATACCACTGATCGAATTAAAGGAAAAAAATTAGGGCAGGAATATTAAAAAATTTACAAAAATAATATTTGTTTTCATCACTATACATTTCATGCATCTTAAATCAACTAATTTATAATATTTTATTTTATCATAATAATTAATAGAAAACTATTGCAAGAATAAACCTAATGGCATTGGCCATTAATGTAGTAAAATATTGTTATAATATATTGTATTATAAAAAATTATACTGCAAATATTCAAATGTAATTAATTTTTTATTTATAAAGCTTTAAATTGTATTACGTAAAATTGTTTGTGTAACACTTGACACTTTCAGATCATATTAACATTTAAATAAATATGCAAATATAAGTATTTTTAAATCTGCTGAATGTTGGATGGGTCGTGCGGACATTGAGTGCAAATGTATTTATGAACTTAATAGCCTACTTAATTCTTAATCTAATTCTGAATATAATATTAATAGCCTAATAAATTATTTTGTACATCACAAATGGATGTACTCAATTTTAATTCAATTATAAATTAATAGTTATTGAGTATGATGAAAAAAGTTTCTGAACTTAGGCGGTCAGACAGAAACATGTTTAAAATAATTTAGCAACTTTGACGGATGTCTATGTACCTATTACCTAGTCTGTATTTTTGATATTTTTCAATTGTTTTAGGGAAAAATAAACTTTAGATAGGAACTTCCCTCGTCTGTTATTTTTCACTTAAAGGTAGAATGTTGTTGGTACTTATATTCAGTTTAATATAAATCCTTGGAACTTATGAATGTTTTACATTTTTGAATAGGGTCGATTTACTGGACTATTCCTTATTTTAGTAATTTTATTCTTCGATTTCCGTCTCCCGTTTTATTTACTTTTTTGTGGGAACAACCCTAATAATACATAATTCATTTGGTCTAACTAAAATTAATTTGAGTTAGTATTATGGACTCATACAAATTCACCGAACTAGATACTTCCCCCCTCCCTATATGCTTGTGCATTACTTTGACAGCGCAGCCAGTAACTTAATTACTTAAATATTATGTTTTGTTTTGTTTTGCAATAAAAATTCGAATCACATATTTCTGATCTCAAACTATATTTCCAAATACAATAACAATCATTCTAAATGAAAATACATTAATCTTTAGTTCAAAATATCACAATTTACAACAGCTAATTGTTTATTTCAAATACCAAATCTAATCCTATCACGTTCGATAATAAAACACGACGTATTTATTTAAATATTATAAAATACAACTTATATATATATATACTATTGTATGGTGTAGCAACCGACCGGTTTTTTTGGATTTTTTAATAACATCATACACAATATAATACTACTCTTTATTATTATAAATGCCAACTTCATTATATTCAAATAAAATACTGCGTAGTAGTGCACTATAGCGCAGTAGTGCGTATTATTTATACAAATTGTTGATACATTTTGAAACAAATCATTTAAATTCATGGACACATATTTAGATGTTAGAAGTAGATGCGCCTACATTTAATATTATGAGTAGTATCTAGAATACGATAAGATAAGTCAAAAATTAGGAAATCTTCATGATTTAAAAACAAAACTGAACATATTTAACCAAGTTAAAGTATTTTAATCTTAAAATGTTGTGAACAAACATAAAAAAGTAAAAAAAAAACTCTAAATGCAAACTGGATAATAAGTCAATGGCATTGGCCATTGCCTATACTGGTTTGATTAGTACTTACTGGTTTTGAATGTCCATTATCATATTATAATAACCACTCAAGAATCGAATAAAAAAAAACCCCAGTGAACTCATATCTGATGTATAGTAGGTTCCGAATGTATTTCGTTAATGAGTAGGTCACTGCAATATATGTGTTAATTTTTAATTCAATGATAAATAATAGGCAATGGTATACACGGAAAACCAATTGTGACGAATGAGAAGGGTCGAACAGTGTCTATCCCTAAAGATTGAAACAAAACATTTAGAATGTGCAGTACCTATTGTCTTTTTTTTATTTTATGAATGAACAACTCAAGTGAGTTATGAGGTTAACTTTCCAATACATTTTAAAACCTAATCTCTCAAATTGAAAACTAGGCATAGGTAACAGGTACGTCGTACGTTCTTAACCACAAATTATTTTGCAATTGTTAAGTGATATCGACAAATTTAGTGAAAACTTGAACTTCACATTCTAATAAAAATGAGAAACCTGGCAATACATTTTAAAGGTTTTAGGCTAAAAAACAAAATATTATCTACATGTAACAAAAAAAAAACTAAAAGAATATTTAAAATGTCTATAAATAGATAAATAAAAGTCAAAAATTTGGAAAAATACACCTTGTCAATAAAATTTCAATATGAATGTTTAATAAAAATGTCAAGGCTCTATAATTAATAATTTCTGAAGTATTTACTTAAACTACAAAAAAAAACTCAATATATTTTTTCAAAAACTAATTTTGTGAACCTAAATATATTCCCATTTTACCATTGTTTATTTCCAATATTATTAAGAAATAATAATAATAAAAACTTATTTTACAACAAAAATAAATACGCATGGAAATAAAATGGGATTTTCCAACTTTTTTTTCTATAAAGTACCCAAATTTACAACTAGACAATAATTGCAATGCACTAAACGTATTTGAAGAGTAAAGCAAATAGTCTGCTGAACTGTCTGCTCAATAATTGTAAAACCAAAATATCACTCAGCTCTGATTCTAATATATTACACAAATACTCTATATATGGCTTATATGCACCTCTAAATTACTGTGGCGTTATATTTGTCTGTTGTTACAAAAACAAAATAGTTATAAAATAAACATTACAAAATACATGTATATACCTACCGTATTACCGTAACTATACTTCATGCTGATTAGCTAGGTAATTCATTTGGTATTCCTTCATAACATATATATTATAAATCAACGTCATACATAATCATTATATTATATAGAAAACACAGATGTGTGTCATAATTACTAACTGCTGTTTTACTTCTGCGAAAGTCCAATTATGTTTTTAAATATTTTCTATTTTTACCCATAATCATGATTCACATAAGTATCATATGAAATTATCAACCATATTTAAAGTTTCATATTATTATTTAAACTTAATCATATATTTTATTTTAATTTATAGATGATTTATTTATAAGTGTGATACTAAGAGGATGTTAGCGCAATATTTGTTTTCTCTCTCAGACCCACCACCCATTCACTACATAAATAAAACGCTTTCACCTAAAAACGGTTTTTTTATGATTTTCTAGAGTAATAGTGGAGTATTCCAAAACACAAAAAAATCATTTTGCATAAATGCATTTTGTCTATATCGAGTGTGGGCTAGAGAGAAAAAACAAACTATTTGCTGACATTTTCTCAATAACAGTTTTGTTTTATTTGAAAGGTATTATAAAGTATTCAAAATCATATTAGTGATAGGTATTATAATACATTAAATAAAATATAAAATAAAGGTATGATAATATAGATGTAGAACTGAAACTGTGCAGGGCTTACAAATTAATCTAATACATGCAAATTATTGAAATATGATTTTATATTCACATTGAAAAAGAATCTTGACAGTAATTTAATATTTTAAATTAATAACTGCTAAGATGACTTTCTGTTACACTTCAACTAATTTTAGTTACCAATAGTATTACTAATAAAGTTCGTTTTCCATGGACATTATTCTTTATTATTTTTTTATTTTAAGTTTTAGTTTAATTTATTTGGAGACCTTATACAGTTATACACATTTTCAACGCATGGGCTAGACTTTAAAAAAAATATTATAAATATAATATACTCTTAGTGGCCAGTTATATTAATACATTTAATCATAGCAAAATATGTCATTAACTGTGGTTAATATTTTACACAAAAGTTTACACCATATTGATAAATAACATATTTAATATGGTTATGTTATACATAGGTTTGTTATTAAACTATTATGATAACTGATAATTAACGTTTCTATTTTACAATAAGCTCATTGTTATCTTACAGGAATTATATCCATAAGTACCTTAGAGTACATGTCATGATTTTAATTATTATCATTTGAATATTTGATGTGACTACGGCTTTACAATATTTGATAAGAGCATCTAGCTT